GAAGTCAAGCCAGTGACTAACTTAAGAAAGGACATATGACCCAATTCTGGTCAATACAATATGAGGAAATTCTGCTGTGGTAACAGAAGATGTTTCTTTGTTTTGCAAAAAAGACATCCAAGAAGAAAGATCCTCTTTTCTTCCTCTGGATATCATCATGTGCATAGTTCCAAAGGGGTCATTCACTTATCCACTAACCTTGGGCAAAATGCTAAAACCTCTCTATTTCTTCTTCTATGAAACCTGACAAACCCTTGCAGGGTTTTTAGGATGGTTAGAAGTAATGCAAATATAGTGAGCTCAGTATGTGATGGCTACTTCTCTAACACCCTGCTTTCATATAGAGAATAAAATGTTTTAAAACAAAGTAAACATACACAAAGTATTTCCTGATCATCTAAATCTTCTTAGTCCCTCCTGTTGCTACCTGTAGTAAGATCTCATTTACCCCTGCCCTATTTTCTTTGGATGGGTAAACATCCTGATCTGAGTAGCCTAGATCTGCTTTGCTTACATGATGATACATTGTGCTTGGTCATTACTTAGCGTACAAACTGTTAACATAAAGGACTACTGCACTACCGGCCTATTTTAGTCAGATGGTCATAGCAACAAACATGACAATCATTGATCCTCAACTTACACTACTTTCTTAAAGAAAATATTCAACTCATAGCCTTCGAAAGAAATCAGCCTTGCATCCCCTATAGCACAACTCATCTATATTGGGTCAGTTTCTCTATTCAAGGAATTTGGAAGGAGATTACAGAAATGATGGTGAGCACTTAAACTAAACTGACAGAGCATTGAGCGTAAAGGCCTGAATGACCATTGAGGCAAGGCAAGCTAACAACGAGAAAGAAAAGCCAGGAGTAAACAGACTGGCAAGTATGCAGAGAAAAACAAATAAGAGAAAGAAGACAAACAATAGGAGCCCTAAAAGAAATAGATGGAATTATGGTTACCCCACAGGCAAATAATAGGAGCCCTAGAAGAAATAGATGGAATAATTACGGTTTCCCCTTGATAAGTGATGTCCTTTTAATAAACCCTACTTTTACTATAGCTATTCTATGTGTTTGTTTCCACAGTTAAATGTGAATTTGAAGAAGAGTATCAATCTTATCAGTTATCAGTATGTAAGCACTTAATAAGAACCAGGCCTAAAAGAGGATCCGTGTTTTGGCAGAAATACCATACCACTAACTCTTATCAAACAAGTTCCCCCTCTCCTTGTTATAGCACTGCTGTCAAAAAAAACTCAGATGCCTACACAAAACAGGCAGGTAAGAGAAGAGGACTAGCATCTTAAAGGTTTTTTCTTTAGATTCTGACATCCTTTATTTTCATATTAAACGGATAAGCAGTTTCCTCCTTTACATACATACACGATATCTGCTTTCTCCCACTTTCTCTTGGTCATTTGTCTTCTGCTTTCCATATAAATAAGGGTACAAGAAAAAAAATGACAACTAGAGGTGATGCAAATACCACGGGACATTCAGCCTTGCTGAGGTATAATACAGGGTAGGGGGGATAGTGACAAAGTAGGAAGTAATTTCCTACCTAAAAAGAACAATCATTACCCAGTGTTAGGCAACTGTCACCATGTAGGGTTTAATTTTAAAGTTAAAACAAAAATCTAGATTTTTCTGTAAAGTCTCCTGATTTTAAAATTTTGTCATAAATTTTTCTACTAAAACAATGTGGGTCAGTTCACTGGGATTGCCAACTTGCAATCCTACTGTAGACTCTAGTGTTCTTTTATAACTTCCTAGGTTTCTAGCTTCCTTAGATATGTTTATTTAACATCTATAGTATGCAAGGTCTATAATTATATATTAGGCAAATCACCACCAAGATTGAACCTCATTTACTTTTCTATTCACAAGTTATTTTAAATTCAACATGTCTCTTCAGAGACAACTCAAAACCAATATTATTAATTAACATCTTATTATATTCCAAATCATACTACCTACTCTGAAAGGGCAGCAATAGAAACTCTTTGAATTTAACTGTCTAGCGTAGATTGAAAAACTGTTTAAGATGCTGTGTCAATTATATAAATATCACCCTGACCTCTGGGTCTTTGTTTCTGCTGTTCCTTCAGCCTAAAGGGCTGTCATCTCTTCCTCTAGGAAGCTGCCTTATATATTATTTCCTCATCATCTCAAACTTAACCCCTCTGAGCTTACTGTATACACTACTGAAATCATGCCTTTATTGTTTATGTCCCCAAGGAGACTATAAATACCTTTTGTATTGTATGTCCGGGAGCTAAGAATGATTAAATGTGCCACGTGGCAAACACTGAGAATCTGTTTCATTCAGCTGGCCACTACTTCCCAAGCAGGCTACCATGTGCCTGGCACCTGATAGATGCTAATGTATTCACTCATTCTTCAACAATATAAGTGGTGAAAAAGTCTCTGCATTCTCAATAAATCTGTCGAGAGAATTATACAAATTAAAGATTTGTTAAACTAACGTATGTATAAAAAATGTATACGTGCACTTCAGTTCATTAACATAGTTGTGTGTCTTTAGGAGACTCAATTTCTCTGAGTCTTGGTGTTTTTGTCCAACTAAATGCAGATGATGCCAACTTTACTCGGTTATGTAAGAAGTGAATGAGAAATTCTAGGAAGTGCTAAGAAAATGGCATATGTCACAGCTCATAAAAATACTGCCAGCACCTCTTAAGGAAACCAAAACTCCAAACGTAGTTCCAACTGTCAAATTTTTAAATCCTGGATATTTGTGTGAAAGACGAAACAGTTCAATAAATGTACTTAATTTACAGAGTCTACAGTAACCCAAATAGTTACTCAGTTTTATGAAACTACAGTTTCTACCAAGCGCAGAGAAAAACACCGTCGTAAACTCACAGTTTGTAAGACAAATAGTTCAAGGATTGCCACGTGTTTTTGGCATGGCAAAACAAAAATCTGCATGTAGATGAAAGTCAGAAGGGGATAAATTTTCGCTTGGTATTTGAAAAAAGTCCAAAATTTCCCAATACTTAGTATTTCCAAATACTTTCTACAGCTTCACATGCAGAATGCCATGCCTCAAAGAGATTCACATCCTAATACCCACAACCTATGACTATGCTGTTACATGGCAAGAGAAAATTAAGGTTAAAAATTATATTAAGGTTTCTAATCAAATGTCAAAATAAAACATCAAAACTCATCCTACATTATTTGTAAAATGCAGATTTCTGAGCCCCACACCAGACCAGACCGAATCTCTAGGAACTGTAAAAAAGTTTAATTTCAACGAACTTGGAGGAGGGAAGAGAGGGAATTCTATATACACTGTTAAAGCACCACTGCTCCAAGGAGTATGTTATGAAACATTACACCAAAAAAACTGAAATAAATTGTTCCCATTACTGAATTTTTAGGAAACCCAATGTACTCATCTTACTGTATGACTTTGTGGGAATTTTCTTTATCTGAGCCTCAGTAGCTCAGAATATGAAGGCAATGTCTAGTAGAACTATTTAAATTAAAATTCATTATGTAGAGTGCCAGGAACGATGATTGGCAGGTAATACGTCATACTAAGAAACGTCAGTCCTATTCTCCATCCTCACCTCCCTCCAACCTTCTCCCCAAATAAGGAAAAATAATACCCGGCCTGCATTTTTACATACTGTTAAATACTGCAAGAATTGTGTTAACTGTATCAGTATCATCACCAAACGACAATTTCCTATAATAAACGTTTTGGTATGATTTAGCTCCTAAATTTTCACTCTTTCAAGCGAATATTTGCTTAAAACATTCTCCTGGATCTCTGTGATGCCATAGGAACTTGCAAATTTAAGTCTTTTACGAGTCACGGCGTGGGGGTAAAACTCGACTGGCCTTGATGAAAATACTTTCCAATGGAGACAGGCCTAGAGAATGAGTTAAGAACTCCCAACAGTGGCTTTTCAATTACGGCAATCTTGGGCAGCTTTTTCTCGTCCCAGACGTTTAACAACTTAACTAAAGAAACCTGAGTCTTGATTGGAAACGGGGCTCAGGGAGGAGCGTTTAGGAACCCTCTCCGCGCCTCACAACCCAAATTCCAAGGCAAGGTCACAAAACCATACAAACCAGGGGGCCCGGGAGAGAGTCGAGTACCCCTAGCCGCCAAGAAAGCTTTTCACGGCATGCATTAGGCCAAGTCAGCGGACCCCATCCCGAGAAAGAGAGAAGGGAATAGAGAGCCCATGCACCTCCACACCCAGACGCAGGCCCTCAAGATTGCCCCGACCCAGACCCATCACTCAACTACACAGAGAAGCTGAGCGAGCCCCGGCCACTCACCCCGAAGCCACTGTGTGCTGTGAAACCATCTCCAACTAGATCCGCGGCTTACAGACCACCCAACAGCCCCCTTCACCAGCCCTGGTACGCTTCGGCGGCCAGGGAAGCCCACGAGGTAACGCAGCAGCCGCGGGTCACAGCCTAGCTTCCAGGAGGCCGCCATCTTCAAGGCTTTCTCATGGGCTGTCCACAGCACAGCCTGATGTCCAGCATCATGGCCCCGCCTCCCGCATCGTTGGCCACGCCCCGAGACGCTAGCGGTTCCTTGGATCTAATTTGTAGCCCTCCTAGCCCCGCCTCCAACCACATTGGCCACGCCTCCCGCGCAGTCTTCTGCGCCGCTGGATATCTCAGCCGGCGGGGCCTTACCAGACCCGGGCTCCAGCCCCGTTCGCCCCGCCCCCGGGCTGCCCTCAGCGCCGCCTGATTGCATTTGCGGCCTAGCTCCCTGATCCCAGGCTAAGCGCCGCGGGTAAAGCTGTGCGGGGACTGGAGGCCGCGCGGGTTCCTCCTCTGCGCCATGTCTGGCTGTGACGTTCGGGAGGGAGACTGCTGTTCTCGGAGAAGCGACGCGCAGGTAGGGGCGGGGCCGCCGGTGCCCGGTATTCCGACGAGGGGAGGCCCAGTCGGGACGCGGCGGCTGGAGCAGAGCGCGGGGTCGCGGGCAGGACGTCTGGCGGGGCGGGGCTTCGGGTCTGGCCGTTAGCTACCCGAGTGCACCGCGGCCTTCGGGTTCGGAAGCGAGGCTGAGGCCCCCGGAGATCTGTGGTCCCGAGCGGGGCGCTCCGATGGCGGGAGCTGGGTGCCAAACATTGGAAAGGAGCAAATAACGGAAGAGAGAAGAGCGTTGAGGTGACCTCTGCGGGTATTTATCAGGAAGGCAGCTAGAAAAGGAATCGCGAAGGACCGAAGTGGAGGTGGGGCGAAGACCGCGCTCCCCGAGCGTCTTTTCTGCACCCTGGCGACCAGTTCGGCGCTTGCGGAGACGTTTGACAAACCGGAGCTGTGCCTCAGCAGCCAGCGTTTTGCTCTGAGCGGTTGGTCCTTGCCTACCTCCGTTTAGATGGATTGTGGGATGATTATGGGAACGATTCTTCCTTAAGCCGAAGTCGAAGGGAAAGCCCCCCTCAGGCTGCATGTATTTTTCGGCAATTTACACAAACCAACAGTTTTATGGAGCGCCTTCTACGCGTTCAAATAGCGGTCTGGAGAACTAGACGAATAAGCAGCTTCAGCACAATGTGATAAACCTCACCTAAGAAGCAGGGAAACCCCCTGAAATTAGCTTCCTTATTCCCCCCGTCTTATTCCTCCTATGTATATCTTTGTTAGGATTGAAAGTCCTAATTAAAAAGTAATAGCTTGCAGGAGATTTTATTGCTAAACATTTGTCAGCCACTGACTTGTGTGAATAAATGACTTGCCCAAATTAGCAAAGACGACTCTAAAAATAGAATGCTGGATAGGCAAGATTGGATGGGAGAGAGATGATCTTGGAGATAGGACTGATAATTGGAGATCGATCCTACGCAGGTGTGTATGGAGAAAGGATCATACCCTCAATCAGTAAATCGTAGTGTAATGTCATCAAAATGAGCATCAAAGAGAGCCTTAATCAAGGGACTTGAGAATAAACAAGGATTCTCAAACTAGATATGACCCATAGACAGCTGGTGTACAGGCATGTTTTGTTTGCTGCACTCAATGTTCATGAAAACTTTAAGCTCATATACATATATGGGCTTAAAGACAAGGATGGTATGACAATATGACATAGTATGACATGCACATATATATGGGCTTAAAGTTTTCATGGGCTTAAAATTTATATATATATATATATTTGACACAAAGTTTTGCTCTTGTCGCCCAGGCTGGAGTGCAATGGTGCGATCATGGCTCACTGCAACCTCTGCCCTCTGGGGTTCAAGGAATTCTCCTGCCTCAGCCTCCCGAATAGCTGGGATTACAGGCGCCTGCCACCAAGCCCAGCTAAATTTTTTTGTATTTTTAGTAGAGATGGGGTTTCACCATTTCGGCGTTTGCGGAGACGTTTGACAAACCGGAGCTGTGCCTCAGCATCCAGCGTTTTACTTTGAGCGATTGCTCCTTGGCTATCTCCATCTTCCTTAAGCCAAAGTCAAAGGGAAAGTCACCCTCACGCTGCATGTATTTTTCGGCCATTTGTTGGCCGAAACAAGACCATGTGTTGGCCAGGCTAGTCTTCAACTCCTTACCTCAGGTGATCCACCTGCCTCGGCCTTCCAAAGTGCTGGGATTACAGGCCTGAGCCACTGCGCCTGGCCTGGGCCCTTATTTCTTCGTGGGATCTGGATTGCACTTACTATTGAACACCACCTTCACCTTTACTAAGGGTATGTGCAGGCCAGATTACCACAGCTTCCACTACTTACACTAGATTTGCATATCCAGTTAAATACATGAGCCTCTCTAGATATTTGTATTTGTCTGGTTTTGTACAAATACATAAAAACACCAATAAGAAAAGTTTAAAAAATTATAAAATTTTGTAGTTTAGGGAGTCGTGGACAATTGGAAGAGACAGTCTCTTTGACCTTAAGGAAGGGGAGTGTTCAACTGTAAGTGATTAATTGAAAGAATATTTAGTGAGTGCCTACTATGTGCCAGGCATTGTGGATTTAAGAGTGCAAGCTGCATCTGGTTCCTTCTCCCATAGAACATGCTGCAGAGTGGGAGATACAAATTAGTGAAGAGACAAGGATGGTACGACAATATGACATAGTATGACATGACAGCAAGACATAGATGGGAAAGTTCAAGGTAGTTTAGGAGCATGCACTTGAATGGGTTAGAGGATATCTCAGGAAAAAGTGAAAGTATCTACTGAGGCCTAAAAAATCAGGAAGACATAACCACATATGATGAAAGTAAGGATGTTCCAAGCAGGGGAAGTAGCATGTACACAATCTCAGGAACAAGGACACGATGTGTTACCATATTAAGTTTGGTGTTCTCGAACATAAAGTAGTGGCCGGGGACTTGAGAAGAGATGAGGCTAAAGAGAAAAGCTAGGACCAGACCTAAAGGGCCTGATAAGCAAATCTTAGATTTTTAAACTAAGGGTTCTGAGATAATCAGCAAGATGACCAAAGAAAGCCTGGGGATTGCTGGCTAGAGTTAAAAAGACTAGAGGCATGGAGACAGACTAGGAAGTTGTAGTAGTAATCCAAGTAAGAGATGCTGGTGGTCTGAGTGAGGGAATAAAATCAGGAAGTCTTGGTTATTGATTAGATGTGTGTAGTGAGAAAAGAAATCAAGAATGAATTTAGGTTTCTAATCTAGTGATGGTCTACCAGAAAGAGAATACAGGAGGAAGAAGCAGTTTATGATGGTTGTATTGTGGACATGTTGAGTTTGAGATACATGCTCAAAACGTGGTACTACACACTGAGTGTATTAATCAGGGATCTCTAGAGGGACAGAATTAATGGTAAAAAATATAAAGGGAAGTTTATTAAGTATTAACTCACATGATCACAAGATCCCACAATAGACCGTTTGCAGGCTGAGGAGCAAGGAGAGCCAGTCCAAGTTCCAAAACTGAAGAACTTGGAGTCCAGTGTTGGAGGCGCAAGCATCCAGTACGGGAGAGACTTGTAGGCTAAGAAGCTAGGCCAGTCTCTCTTTTCACATTTTTCTGCCTGCTTGTATTCTAGCTATGCTGGCAGCTGATTAGATTGTGCCCATCCAGAGTAAGGGTGGGTCTGCCTGTCCCAGCCCACAGACTAAAATATTAATCTTTGGCAGCACCTTCACAGACATACCTGGGATCAATACTTTGTATCCTTCAATCCAATTAAGTTGACACTTAATATTAACCATCACACTGGGTATTGCTTTCAAGCTAGGAGAGAGAGCTGGATTGGAGATAAAGATTTGGAAGACTTGCTCACCAAAACTTTCCCTCTCAAGACCTTTGTATTATTTATTTATTATTCTGTCTTTGATAGACACACTTTTCTGAACCCATATTATTTGCCTCCCTCTGTAGCCCTTTCAGTAATTTTTTATTATTCCTTTGCAGTAACTTTCCCAAGTGATTTGTGTTACATGGACTTGCTTCTTGAATTCTAAAGATTCTTCAAGCATCAAGTGTATTATTTTCAGGTCAGACTCGAAATAACAACAATCTCTAAACTGATTTTACAGTTCTGAAATTAAAACCCTACTGACTGGCCCATGAACTGATTTTCTCTAACGTCAGCAAAAGTCAAGGAGTATTTCCTTAAAAGAGAAAGCATTTACCCAGAAACCATATATTAAAGTCTAGGCTGAAAAATGCAAACATTAGTAAGTTGTTGTTCCTACCCTTCAGAAACTTGGGCAGTTGTAAATGCATATTTATAATTAATATATACCAGTAATGGGCAGTGGGGCATTGGAGGAAAGGATGAAGTTCCTTTAGAGGATGACAAAGTATTTTGCAAGTACAGAGGGAGAGGAAGGTCATTTCAAATAGTGACTCATGGAAGGCTATATGGAGAATATGGCATTGTAGATTGGCCAGATGGAACCAAAAAGAATATAATAGGCCCAGCATTTACCCTATCTTAAGAGGTAACACTATACAACACTGATTGTTTTTTGCTATGTGGGAGTATTATATGCCTGTTGTCTAGTTCTGCTATTTTAAACAAAACTGGAAACTCAGATTTTATATGAAATCTCTTGATTTTAAAGTATAGCCTCTCTTTTCTAAGCATTGTGTAGACCAAATAAATAACTTTCTGTGAGCCTGAAGCAGTCAACAAAATACGGTAACTTCTGATACAGGACTTTTTAATGTAAAGGATATGATCTTAATGCAACCAATGTTTGTTCAGTAAAGTACTGTGGAAGGTATGGCTGTACCAAGAGCTCATTCCCTACCCTTTAGGAAGCTCTGCTTAGTTGCCGAGAAAAACCAGGTAGAGACTACTTCTATTTTTTCAATTTTACCTTAACTATCACAGTGTCCTATATATGTTGACCCTGAATATATATCTGTTCTTTGATATTTCTACAACACAAGGACATCCAACACCTTGCTCTTTGTTTTCCTTGACCTCATCAGTGCTGTTCATCTCTACCTCCCCCTCACTCTAACATCCCATTCCCATGGTCATCTCCTTCTCTGCCCAACCCCTACCCCTTTACCATATACTTTTTTGGGTATATTCAACCATATGAATTAGTACCTACAAATATTCTGGTGTCCTACTGCAGATGGCCTCTGAGTAGCATGTGACAGTCCTCTGGGGAGCTTCCTTTTACATTCCCATAAGTGACTGTTCCATAACCTCACCATCTGACCCCATCCTCCACCCCACACCTGTTTCAAAGGTGACCTCGCCTCCAAAATCACAAAGAAAGTGAAAGCTATTCGGTGCAAATTTCTTAATTTTTTCCTCTTCCCATCTGCAGTATAATGTAAAGGTTAAGGACTAGGATCTAGAATCAGACTGCCTGGGTTCAAATCCTGGCTCTGCCACTTGCTATCTGGGTGGCCTTGGACAAATTACTTAACCTCACGTAGTACAATAGGGTTGTTATAAGGATAAAGTAAAGTAGTCCATATAAAGTCTTTAAAAGAATGCCTGGCACAAAATAAGCATTCAATAAATAAATATTAGCAATTCTTCTTATCAGTGGTATTATTACAATATTTAATATTACATTATTAATATTATTATGTACTTACCTGCATCTTTACCTTTCTTCCCATTCATGTTTTTCTAATGCCAGCTTCTCTATCTCTACAAAGGCTGACCTCTCAGACCTTTGCTCTCCTGTATGTTTAATCTCTCCCTGTCTCCTAATGTTACCCCTTAGCATGTGATAGAAAACTGTCTTAACCAGTTTTCCCTTCTCTTTCCCTGTCTAGCCCTTCTTTATAGCAACACTATTGAAAGAGTCATTAGAACTCCATGCTTCCAAGTTCCATTCACCTCTAAATGAAAGTGAGTGAAGCCCACTGCGATTCGGCTTCCACACCCAGTCTACTGAAGCAGTTGTTACTTAAGATCATGGTTGATCTAATTTACATATGCAGTTGGCCTAGCCAAACCTTTAGCCAGGAAGAACCCTGCCACCCACTTCTTTGGGCCTGCATTGAGCAGCTGAACATTGCTGGAGAATATTGCATAACTTTTTGTCTGGCCTTGCTTCGTGATTTCAACCTCAAATTGGCACTTAATGCTGCCCAACAGCCCTTCTTTGTTTCTCTTGTAGTTCACTGTTCCACTCCCCAAGATGACTATTTTATACCTTTCATTCTGTTGTCAAGCCTCTCACACCCTCCATACTCCTAGCTAATGTCTTTGTTTATACTTCAGACCATAGAAGTAATTAGGTAATGAACTTCCTCACCGTCCTACCACGAAAACCTACCAATCTGCTGGAACATGAACTCAGCTTCTCCTTATTTCATGAAATGGAAGAAGCCCAGTTCCTCCACTAGAGTTCAGAATCTCCAAGCCCTCTCACCTTCTATAGTTATTTCTCTCCCTCTCCCCGTGTCTCTTATTAGGAATCACTTCCTTTCTGGTAAGACTGTTCTCATCAGCTTTCAGGTCCTTCCATGATCTGGCCCCTACAAATTTATCTTCTGCCGCTCTCAGTACTTCCTCACTCTGCTCTAGCCAACTGATCTTCTATCTGTGAAGTACTTGCTCATTTCAGAGACTTCACACTTGCTATTTCCTCTGCCTGGAGTACTTGCCTCTCCCCAATACCAAACTGTGCACGTGCGTACATACTCATTCATCACACACTGGTTTAGTTCATGACTTATAGGTCCCAGATTAAATGCCACCTGCTCAGAGAGGCCTTCCTTGACTGCCTTAAAGTTGATCCCTGCCATTTTTCTTCAAGTCCTTTGTTTGTTTCCCTCTTGGCACTTTTTACAATTTATTTATGTATTCTGTGTATACCTTTTTAAAACTCCCTAGAGTGTGAATTCTTTTAGGTCGGGCCCTGGGAATTCAGGTCTAGTTCATGGCTGAATTCCCAGGGCCTAGAATAGTGTTCAGCACATAGTAATACTTCTGACCCATCTCTCAGTGAATGATATCATCCACTCAGCTACTCAGCTGACCACAAACTTGGGAGTCTTTGAAGTTTTCCTTTCTCCCCTTCAGTTTTCTCACCCCAAGTCCTTTATCTTCCAAATGCATCTCCACCTTCCCTCCCTTCCCATTTCCTTCTTAAACTCTTTCAGCAGCCTCCTTGCTCTTCTTGGCTTTCACTTTCTTGGACGCTGCCTTTCAGCCTCTTTTCTTTACTGCCACTGTGCAAATGTTTCAAAAACAGACTCTTAACACATATCTTACGTTTCAAACTCCTCAGTGGTTTTCAGTCATCTGTAAAATATAGGCCAAAGCCCTGTGCATAGCATCAGGTTCTGGAGGATGGAGGTAAAAGGGAGGCTTAGACTCAGCCTCTTCCAACTACTGAGCATTCTCTCTGACTGAAATGCCCTTTCTCCTCTTCACCTACCCAGTGTGTACTCCCACTATCCTTCATTAATAGAAATAATAGAAATACCAACATAGAACAAACTACTGGTGTTGAAATTTAGAAGTCTGGAGATCACTGATCCAGATTATTAATATAAGGATACTAATGCCCAGAAAATATCACTGACTTGCCCTAGGGCACACAGCTACTGGGGGGTCAAAACTGAAAATAGGCTCCATGTCTTCTGATTTCTCATCAACACTTGTCTGACAAGGAGGAGGAAGAGGGTTTTTAAGTATGATGAAGATAGAAGGGAGAGCTGGGGCATTCAAGTAAAAACCAATATGCACAGAGAGGCAACTGCAACAAATGTACAGAACGAAGTAAAGACCAAGGACAGAAAGTATGACACATCTTTGCTGTGCCTCCATTCAGTCCCTTCCTAAGGCCAGTGTCAGGAAAATAAGTGAAATACTTTGAAAGAAATAAAAAGATTATTTACTGACTGTTTTGGAGTTATTATGCTATTTTACAACTCTCAGTTGAGAAATCCTGACAGTTATTCAGGTCACTATTGTTCATGGAAATGGAAATGCAAGTTGTGTTCAATGGAGATTCATTTTATTGTTAACCTGTGGATATTGCCCAATTTTGCTAAGTCAGGATTCTTCGTTACTTATATATGTATATTTTAAATTCTCTTTTGAATCAGTTGTAACATCTTACTAGTTTCCCAATTTATTGATAAGTTAAGTAATAGCTTTGATGCATGTTTTTTATACTTGTATAAGAATCTCCCAGGAAAACCTATATCTGAGGAATGTATGCCTATATTTGCTTAAGTTGAAAGAAAAGATAGGGGGCGCTGGGGGTGGTGGATTAGAGCCATTGTTGGCTGTGAGTAGGTATCTCAGAGACAAGCCAGGCTGACTTCCTTAAAATAACTAGATTGAAAAAATTGGAAAAGTAAAGTACCAAATCAAAACTTGTTAGACTTTAATGATGTTGGTATGTACAAAATGCTTTCTCATTATGTAAATTATGTAAATATGTTTTCTCCTTACTATAGAACCTCTCCTATAAATAGCTATTATAATCAATCTTTAGATACATATTTCAAAATTATTATTATAATTGAAAACCAGATCTAGCAATAATAGGAAAGTAATATTGACATTCAAGCGAGAGCTAGATACTAACCAAACCTTTCCTTCTTGTCAATTCTTGTTAAAATATATGTTCTGGTAGTTACTTTCTTCTGGAAAGTTTAAATGACTTCATTTTCACCACGTATATCTCTGTTGGTGCCTGCTAAGTGATAATTTTCTTCGAAATTTTAATTTCATGAGTCTCAATGATTGAAAATTTATTAACAGCAGCTGCCTTGTTATTGTTATTACTGTAGCTTGTGGATAATTGCACTGGAAAAGACAAAAGAGAAAAGGGAGACCTGTAATAAAAGACCATTTTCTATAATGTTTGCAATTTGCTGTGTAAATTGGTGGTTTTAAGGGTTGGAAGACTGCAGGAGTCTTCCCATTAGCTGTATTTTAAGATGTAATTAAAATATCACTTACATACCTAAACAAGGAAATAGCAAATTATACACACAAAGGTAATTTGGACTAGATTTCTTAAGGCCAGATATATGAAATACCAACATAATTTTTCCTTAATAATTTCTATAATATTCCCTTTCTGAGGAAATGTCACCCCAGCTGCTGTTAGGGAGTTTAGGGTGAGGACTCTTTCTGGCTATATCCTGCTGAAAAGGGGCATCAAGGCTAGGGCTCCTCCTGGGGTCAATCTAAGGGTCCTCGGAAGAATGGCATGTCCATGTGTGGTTCAGTTTGGGAGCACCATTTGGTTTGATTGCTTCTAGATGAGAGGAAACAATTTGAGTTATAGTATTGAGTATTCAAGGTCCAAATATTACTATAAGACATACAAGCAAGAGGGGCCTTAATAAAGTAGCTAACCAATTCTATAAAGAAGACTGAAATTCATTAAAGAGGAATTGTAGCCTCTTGGGGCTAAAGATTGCATGTTCTCGTAGCCTGTCAATGATTTTTGATTTGATCTTTAAGTACCAGTAGATTTTCCTCTACTTTACTAGAGGTGGCAATCCAGAAGCATCATGTTTCATTTAAAAGTGCACAGGTACCTCCTACTTCAGCTGTAAGGACGTCTAAGGCCCGTCTATTCTGCGCTACAACTGAGGTGAAAGAGAAAATCTATAGATTGCTATTGTGCCTTTATGGCACCTACAGTTGCCTTTCACCCTCATTGCATCATAATAGAAATATTAAGTACTGATCTTTCAGGGAGAGGGATCCCCATAAACCAGACTAGAGCCTGGCTGTAGAATTTCCCATTCATGGTTCTTCTAAGATGGTATGTGCACGCCCTCCCCGGTCTGCCCTTTCAGTTAAATCTCCATATGAGGGCATAGAAATTATAGATCTCTTTGTCCAGCATATTCAAGATAGTGTAGTCTCTAGAAAAGAGCCTGAGTTAGGGATGACCCCAGATGATGCTGCCATCTTGGTAGAATTTAAAAATAAGTCAGGAGCTACTGCTACTGTAGTACAAGTTCCCTCCCAATGCCTTGTGAGGACTAAGTGTATCCAGGAGCCACAAAAAAAAAAAAAAAAAAAAAAAAAAAAAAAAAAAAAAAAAAAAAATTAGTCCTGTTCTTTGAAGGCATGTTTCTAAATTGTGGCTTGTGAGAGACATGGGCAGATTTTTCTCATATCTTAAAAATTTTCCTTCTTTACATATAATAGGGGCATTCTTGGGATGAGGATATCCATATTTAGGATATTTACGATGTCATTTGGGATTTGACATGCTGAGTGAGAAGAGTCCACCTGGCAAATGGAGTTTTGAAAAATTAGAGACATAATATGCCCTGGTCAATATTTCAGATGATCCTGTGGCAAGGGCTTTTAGTCCAGATGTCTCCAGTTTGACCACAGATGTGTAAGCCACTACTATTAGCAAACATCATATAAGCGTCTGGAATCTAATGTGGGGACATGTTCAGAAAGGCCCATGTGTTATTCTTTACAATATAGTCAAGGTGGTCACTTAGAGCATGCCACTTCCATTGGGACTTCCAATAAGAATGAGAGTCTAGATTCTTAAAGCCCTCCACTAGGGCTTCTGATCCTTTTAGATCACCCTTGCTGCACTCTCCTCCCCAAATCTTTGAACTATTAGCAGTTACAGGTGTGATGTTACAATGTCTGAGATCTCCCACATATGGCCCTTCCCCGCTGCTTTTAAAGCAGAGGGAGGCATTTGCTATTACTTGGTTGAATTTTCCCAACCTGAGGATGTGAAGCTTATCTTTGAGGAGGGTGTTCTTTGGCACTGGGAGAAGAGTGTTCTCTGGCACTGGGAACAGAGTGTTCTCTGGCACTGGGAACAGAGTGTTCTCCCGAGAGGAGTTAGTTACCTAGTTGAAAGTGTTCCCATACCATGTCCAATTTATGCCTGATAGGTCTTTAAGGCTTAAAGGTAAAGCCAAAAAAGGGAATCCTAAGACGGTGAGTTCTGGGTCATTGGAAGTTTCCTTACTGTCATTGGACTGAGCAAACCTCTTAGGACAGACCCAAAAATTAGTCTTGTTGTACAAATGGGCCATGGCAGATATTGCAGGAGCTAAAGGGTGTGATGTATTACTAAGTGATTAAAAAGTCCTATCAGACTGAGGGTTAGTAAAACGCATATGTTTAGTTCCTTTTAGTAACTGTTATTCCTGCTATGATGATAATAATTAAGCAAAATGCTACAGTAATTGAGATTCTCTGTCAGATATTCCACCCTGAAGTGCCACAGTATGTAGTCCTACTGCAAATAGTAGAGTGAGTAAAGCAACTCCCACAAGGGTGGCGTAGTAAATAATCTTCATCAAAAAGAAGTTATAATATTTGGTGCCAAATCTCAAAAGGAGAGGTAGAGACGACAAAAAGTATTTAGTGAGGTGGGAGTGAGGCTAAGATGAGTAGTTCTCATTCAGTTACTTGTCTTTTGTCATTTTCAGCTTAAGATCTCCTGGTTTTTTTACACTGATATTTAGGACGTTCCTCTAGGCTATCAGGGGTCGTTGCTCCCTTAGCTCTCCAGGCTTTGACTCAAATATAAATGTATGTAGGAGTCGATTCCTGCCAACGTTTATTGCCAAGGGGCTTGAAAGAAGAACAGTGTAAGGTCCTTCCCAGCTTGGGCTGAGAAAGGGAGAGAGAGAAGGGAGAGCCTTTACGAGTACCCAGTCTCCTGAGTTGATAGAGGTAGTCCAATTTCCTGGGGTTGGGCTTTTGCTGGTTGTGCTGGAAGTGAGCCAGAGAGGTTACATGCTTAACTAGCTCAGAGGTTTCCCAATCTAATAGAAAATCATTGGTAATGAAAGGCCATCCGTACAGCATCTCAAAAGGTCTAAGACCTAATTTTGAAGGGGTATTTCTTATTTATAGCAAGGCCATGGGAAGAAGAGTGACCCAAGGAAGGTGAGTTTCTTGGGATAATTTTCTGAGGAGTCTCTTGATAATATCATTAGTTTGCTTTACCTTCCTTGAGAATTGGGGTCTCCAAGCACAGTGGAGAGGATATTCTATGCCTATTGCTTTTGAGACCCCTTGTGTGACAGCTGCCTTAAACGAGGGCCCGTTGTCACTTTGAAGGTACTTAGGTAGCCCAAAGCTGGGAGTTATTTCATTAAGTAATGTTTTTAGTACCTCAGAGGCTCTTTCTGTACTGCATGGAAATGCTTCTACCCAGTTAATGAAGGTATCTATCCATACCAGCAGATATTGAATGCCCTTTGTCTTTGACATGTGGGTGAAGTCTATTTGCCAGTCTTCCCCTGAATAATTTCCTATTCTTTGGGTTTGAGGAGGAAGGAATCACCTGTTCAGGGGATTATTTTTAAGACAGACTTCACAAGTTTTGCTTGTTAAGCAAGTCTTGCTTAACAACTTGACTGTTTTTAGTAAGCCCTCTTCTGAAAACAATCTCTGGGCACATTGGTAAGTTTTATCCTTTCCCAAGTGAAATGCTTGGTGAAGGATTTTAAGGACTTTCCATTGGCTGGAGGCTGGCAAGTGGAGTTTTGCCTCTGACTATAGCCATCCTGTGGACTGAAATGTGTACCCTCAAGAAGTGGTCCATTCTATTTCTATAGGGGAGTACTGAGGTTTAATTTCTCTTACGGAGCCTTCCCAGATTAGAGGGGTGTGAAGTATGTTGATGTCTTGAGGCTTTCTTGCTACTGATTCAGCTGCCTGATCTGCTAATCTATATCTTTTGGCTACCTAGCTGTTCCCTTTTGATGTCCTTTACAATGTGTCACTGCTATTGCTTGTGGAAGGGAACTGAAGATAATAACCTGTTAATTTCCTGGTGATGTTTTATAGGAGATCCATTGGTAGTAAGAAACTGTGTTTCCTTCCAAATGACAGCATGAGCATGGAGAACCAGGAAAGCATACTTGGAGTCAGTGTAATTGTTAGCTATTCAGGGCCAGATGTGGTGGCTCACACCTGTAATCTCAGGAATTTGGGAGGCCGAGGTAGGCAGATCACGAGGTCAAGAGATAAAGAACACCTGGCCAACATGGTGAAATTCCATCTCTACTAAAAATACAAAAATTAGCCATGCATGGTGGCGGGCGCCTATAGTCTTAGCTATTTGGGAGGCTGAGGCAGGAGAATTGCTTGAACCCAGGAGGCGGAGGTTGCAGTGAGCCGAGATTGCAGCACTGCACTCCAGCCTGATGACAAAGCAAGAATCCATCTCAAAAAAAAAAAAAAAAGTTATCTTTCCTTTGCTTAATTCGATTGCTTTTATAGAGCAATTAGCTCAGCTAATTAAGCACTTGTGCCTGGAGGGAGATGCACTTTCAGTACGTCATTTAGAGTGACTACTGCCTATGCTGCCTTACGGACTCTTGTTCTGCAAAAGAGCTCCCATCTGTGAAGAGGGTCCGGTCTGGGTTCTCTAGGGAAGTTTCCCTGATATCTTCTTGGCTGCATAGTCTATACGACGACTTGTTCATAGTCATGCTCAGGCTCCCCAGTTTCCTCTGGGAAGAAGGTGACTGCATTTAGATGAGAACAAGTCTTTAATTGGGTGTCAGAACCTTCTAACAGCAGGGCCTGATATTTAAGGAGTCAGCTGTCTGTTAGCCAAAGGTTCCTTCCTAGAGTGCAGTAGTCCTGCCACATTATGTTGGGTGTAAACAGTTAAATTATTTCCCAGAGTTAGTTTGGAGGCTTCTGGGACCAGTAGAGCCACTGAGGCAATGGCTAGGAGACATGCTGGCCATCCTTTAGCCACCAAGTCAAGTTCCTTACTTAGGTAACCCACTAGCTATTGAGCTGGTCCTCGGGCCTGTGTTAAAACTCCCAGGGCCATTCCCTTCATTTCTGATACAAACAGATTGAAGGCCTTCCCTACAGGATGGCTGAGGGCTGGTGCCTTGAGCAAGGCCTGTTTTAGCTGGGTGAAGGCCTTTTGAGCTTCAGGTTCCCAGGTTAAAAGATGAGGGCTCCCAGAGTGTCTTTTATGAAGTTATATAACAGACGGGCTATTTCACCATACCCAGGTATCCATAGCTTACAAAATCCTATGGCCCCAAAATCCTCTTAGTTGCTTGAGGGCTTGGGGGTAGGGTAAGGAAGAAATAGGTTTAATCCTTTCTTCCCCTAATGCTCTGGTCTCCTTGGACAGTACTAAACCTAGGTACTTCACTGAGCTTTTGCAGAGCTGGGCCTTGGGTTTTGAAACCTTATGTCCTCTGTTAGCTAAGAAGTCAAGAAGAGCTTCAGTGCCTTCCTGAGAAGCTTCCTCAGTTGGGGCACAGAGCAGAATGTCATCAACATAATGTAAGACCCTAACTTGAGGATAAGAGAACTCAGAGAGGTCTTGTGACAGTGCCTGCCCAAACAAATGAGGACTGTCTCAAAATCCATGTTAACTGGGCAGTTTGGCCAGAGAGATCTTCAAAGGCAAATAGGTATTGAGAGTCAGGATGTAACGGTATGCAGAGAAAAGACATCCTTTAAATCTAGGACTGTAAACCACTTAGTTCCCTCAGGTATTTGAGTTAACGGGGTGTAGGGATTAGATACCACTGGATGGATTGGAATGAGAGCTTCATTAATGAGGCGAAGGTCCTGAACTCGTCTCCATTCCCCATTGGATTTCTCACGCCTAATATTGGGGTGTTGCAGAGGCTAGTAAAGGGTTTGAGGAGGCCCTGTATCTTTAGGTTATTAATAATGACATCTAGCCCTTTCCTAACCTCTGAGTTCAGGGGATACTATCTCTGGTTAGGAAAATAAGTGGGATCCCTAAGATAGATCTGGACTGGCCTAGTGGTTATTGCTCAACCTTTTCTTCCTTGAGTTGCCCACACTTGTGGTTTAATGTTAGCTTCCACCAGTGGGAGACAAAGAGTTTGTCCCGGGGCTATAAGGATGCTGGCCCCAATGCAAGCTAAGATATCTCTACCTAATAAAGGAATGGGACTTCAGCCATGATTAAAAAGGCATGTGTAAATAGTAGGTCCCCACATCTGCAGCTAAGAGGTTGAGAAAAATACCAGATTAGAGTTTTTCCTGAGATGCCCTTTACAGCCATACCACAGGAAGAGGGGAGGCCTGGATTAGAGAGGAGAAGAGAGAGACTGACTCCAGTATCCAGAAGATCTACCTTCCTTCCTTTCTACCTTTGATTTCCAGAATCATCCAAGGTTCCTGTGATGTAATAGTAGTCTGAGTTGCTGGAGCTAGAGGTTTGAGCCCCAGGACCCATCAGTCCTGCTGGACCATCTATGAGACTAATTCTGAACCCAGTGACCTCCGTTTCTGGGGGCAGATCTGTCTCCAGTGGTCTCTGCCACAGGCTGGACAGGGTCAAGGTGGCTTTGTCTTGCCTGGATATTCTTTCTTAAAATGCCCTGACTTGCCACATCAATAATAGCTAGTGGATACACCTCGGGGATCCTGGACTTTGCAAGCTTGTACCACTGCTACCAGAGCCTCTGTTATTTTCTTGTGTTTCCTTTCCTTTTCCTGGGCCTCCTCCTGATCCCTGTTGTAAAAGACTGAAGTGGCTTTCTCAGGAGGTTTTCTAGGATACTATCTGATCCTGTAGCTTGCTTCTATAGTTTCCTTTTAATATTGGGAGCTGCCGATTCTGCTCATTCTCTCAAGGACAAGAAATAAACTTGTCCTTGAGAATAACTGTTGCTTGACTGAATCCAGGGATAAGCAGGTATGTTTTATTAGTGCCTCTCTCAGCCTTTCCATAAAGGCTGAGAGATTCCTGGCTGGTCTTTGGTCTATCATGGACAGTTTAGGATAATTGAGAGGTTTGGCCCTGGTTTTCCATGGGCCCTCTAATATACACCTTAAAAAGTGCTCTCTTTTCATCTCCTGAGTTATTGGGGTTCCAATCAGGGTTGTCTTCCAGAACTACCTTCCTTCCTAGTGGGAATGGAGTTTCTACTTCTTCCTCACCTTCCCTATCTCCTCTTTTTCTCCATGGTCTTCTATAGGAAGCATGTTGCTCATCTCCATATTTTTGTGCTGCCTGGAGAACTGCCTGCTTTTCAACTGCAGTGAGGGTCTGACTTAGCAGCAATATAACGTCCCTCCATGTGAGGTCAAATACCTGAGTTAAATTTTGGAAAATTTCTATATAGCTATCTGGATTGTCAGAAAATCGGCCCGAATCTCCCTTTATTTGTTTCAGGTCCTGTAATGAGAAGGG